ATAAGCTAAAATGATGGTTTTTGCGACCATCAATTGTCTACTTTTGCTAGACCTCAAGTCACTCCCAACCCACCTTCAATATTTCCCACCCCGCAGATGTATGCTTTCGGTCCAATTACAGAAATAATTTACTGATGAAAAGAAATATTTCCTTTCTTTTTTTCTTCCTTCGGTTTGTGCGTGGGTAAAGGGAGACGACTTATTTTGTTACCATCTCATTTTAGAAAATGTATATAGATATGCTAATTAGTGCATTTGCTTCATCATCAAATCATGTTTTGTTTTTTTCTCGTCTTTCTTGTCATTCATGTCATTTGCCGTCATTCAAAGAGCTTTGATATTTTCTCACATTAATGCGGGCACACGCACCCATTTCTCAGAGCCTAAAGAAACATTTCCACAGTGTAGCCCATCTACTTCAATTAGCTGCCGGGAGTTCTCTGGTCATGACCTTCCTTTATTCCACAAACAGCCCTCATAAACCCGAGAGACCCAGTCATAATCACCATATGTTTTCCATGTTTATCACCACTAGTCATTGTTTTCTTAATAATATCCTCAAAAATCAATCCATTGTAGCCTAAACAAATTGCCGACACCCCTGACAACAAGTGAAATACAAAATTAAGCAGCTTTTTTCACGATATACAGCCTCTGCAAACCCAAGTTTGAGAGGAAGCAAACTCAAACTGTGAAAACAAGGTCTCTGACGTCTTTTTAGCCGCCTGAATGGCAAAAGGCTGTTGTTGGCTGCCAAAAAAAAATAAATTTATAAAATAAAAGACCTTCAATTTTTACTTTTTTTTTTTTTTTTTTTCGTTCGTGTAAAGAAAAAAAAAAAAAAAGCATCACAAAAATGGCTTTGAAAGCATGATCCATGACTTATATAAAAGGAAATGCAACTCAGAACTTGAAAACCATCTTCTGCATGTAACCAAGTTCTTTAAGCATGCCTTTCAGCTCACCTTGAGAGGGTGGCATAGTCTTAAAGTCCTTGTCGCCTGAAATGGCCTCCATAAAAGGGGGCGGTCCGCATACAAGGATTATGGAATCAGCTGCACTGCTTGGTGGCGGCATGACCGATTTAATCATCTCCTTGTTCACATATCCTACACCTCCCATCCAATCCGAAGGAGCCTGGGAAAGAACATAGTAAGGTGAAAAGAGAGGACACGTTTCCATAAGCTCATTAAGTTCATTTCCCAAAAGAACATCCTCCTTGCGATTATTAGCATAAATCAGAGAAATGGCCGTCGTGTTCTTAGGCACACGCAAAACATTACGGGCCACCTGATACATTGGAGTAATTCCTGTCCCTCCTGCAATCATGCCAATATGCCTGTATTGGTTCGCCTTAATCGGAATCTTTACCCATGGTCCTTTAAATTCCAAAGTGTCACCTTTCTTCAAAGAAAAAAGGTGTGTTGTCATCTGGAGTTATCGTA